CCCTTACATTTTTTTCAATTTTGACCAACAAATTGAAATCACTTGAAACTTGCAGGGAAGATAGAAAAGTAATTTTTTGTCCAAATTTTGATCAAAAAGTAAGGCTAACCCCTTTGTAATATTTTTGGGCAAATAGAAAAGTCCATTTTTAGCCAAATTTTGATCAAACAGTAAGGCTTACCCCTTGCAAGTTTTTTTTTCAATTTTGGCCAAAAAATGAAATCTCTTGAAACTTGCAGGGAAGTGCAAAATTGTGATCAAAATGTAAGGCTTACCCCTTGCGATTTTTCAATTTTGGCCAAAAAAAATGAAATCGCCTAATACTTGCAGGGAAGATAGAAAAGTCCATTTTGGGCCAAATTTTGATCAAAATATAAGGCTAACCCCTTGGAATTTTTTGGGAAGATAGAAAAGTCAATTTTTAGCCAAATTCTGATCAAAAAGTAAGGCTTACCCCTTGCCCTTTCTTGGGAAGATAGAAAAGTCAATGTTTTAGCCAAATTTTGATCAAAATGTAAGGCTAGCCCCTTGTAATTTTTTGGGAAAATAGAAAAGTCAATTTTTAGCCAAATTTTGATCAAAAAGTAAGGCTTACCCCTTGCCCTTTCTTGGGAAGATAAAAAAGTCAATGTTTTAGCCAAATTTTTATCAAAAATTAAGGCTAACCCCTTACAATTTGTCAATTTTGACCAAAACATTGAAATCACTTGAAACTTGCAGGGAAGATAGAAAAGTAATTTTTTGGCCACATTTTGATCAAAAAGTAAGGCTAACCCCTTGCAATTTTTCAATTTTGGCCAAAAAATGAAATCGCTTGAAACTTGCAGGGAAGATAAAAAAGTTCATTTGGGGCCAAATTTTGATCAAAAGTAAGGCTAACCCCTTGCAATTCGTTGGGAAGATAGATAAGTCCATTTTGGGCCCAATTTCGATCCAAATGTAAGGCTAACCCCTTGCCATTTTTTTGGGAAATAGAAAATTCAATTTTTAACCAAATGTTGATCAAAAAGTAAGGCTAACCCCTTATGATTTTTCTATTTTGACCAAAAAGTTGAAATCACTTCAAACTTGCAGGGAAGAAAGAAAAGTCAATTTTTGGCCAAATTTTGATCAAAAAGTAAGGCTAACCCCTTGCAATTTTTTGGGAAGATAGAAAAGTCAATTTTTAGCCAAATTTTGATCAACAAGTAAGGCTTACCCCTTACACTTTTTCAATTTTGACCAAAAAAATGAAATCACTTGAAACATGCTGGGAAGAAAGAAAAGTAAGTTTTTGGCCAAATTTTGATCAAAAAGTAAGGCTTACCTTTTGCAATTTTTTTAATTTTGGCCCAAAAATGAAATCGCTTGAAACTTGCAGGGAAGAGAGAAAATTCAATTTTTGGGCCAATTTTTGATCAAAAAGTAAGGCTTACCCCATTGCAATTTTTTGGGAAGATAGAAAAGTCAATGTTTTAGCCAAATTTTGATCAAAAAGTAAGGCTAACCCTTACATTTTTTTCAATTTTGACCAACAAATTGAAATCACTTGAAACTTGCAGGGAAGATAGAAAAGTAATTTTTTGTCCAAATTTTGATCAAAAAGTAAGGCTAACCCCTTTGTAATATTTTTGGGCAAATAGAAAAGTCCATTTTTAGCCAAATTTTGATCAAACAGTAAGGCTTACCCCTTGCAAGTTTTTTTTTCAATTTTGGCCAAAAAATGAAATCTCTTGAAACTTGCAGGGAAGTGCAAAATTGTGATCAAAATGTAAGGCTTACCCCTTGCGATTTTTCAATTTTGGCCAAAAAAAATGAAATCGCCTAATACTTGCAGGGAAGATAGAAAAGTCCATTTTGGGCCAAATTTTGATCAAAATATAAGGCTAACCCCTTGGAATTTTTTGGGAAGATAGAAAAGTCAATTTTTAGCCAAATTCTGATCAAAAAGTAAGGCTTACCCCTTGCCCTTTCTTGGGAAGATAGAAAAGTCAATGTTTTAGCCAAATTTTGATCAAAATGTAAGGCTAGCCCCTTGTAATTTTTTGGGAAAATAGAAAAGTCAATTTTTAGCCAAATTTTGATCAAAAAGTAAGGCTTACCCCTTGCCCTTTCTTGGGAAGATAAAAAAGTCAATGTTTTAGCCAAATTTTTATCAAAAATTAAGGCTAACCCCTTACAATTTGTCAATTTTGACCAAAACATTGAAATCACTTGAAACTTGCAGGGAAGATAGAAAAGTAATTTTTTGGCCACATTTTGATCAAAAAGTAAGGCTAACCCCTTGCAATTTTTCAATTTTGGCCAAAAAATGAAATCGCTTGAAACTTGCAGGGAAGATAGAAAAGTCCATTTTTTGCCATATTTTGATCAAAAAGTAAGGCTAACCCCCTTACAATTTTTCAATTTGAAATGAAATGAAAAAATGAAATCGCTTGAAACTTGCAGGGAAGATAGAAAAGTTCATTTGGGGCCAAATTTTGATCAAAAGTAAGGCTAACCCCTTGCAATTCGTTGGGAAGATAGATAAGTCCATTTTGGGCCCAATTTTGATCAAAATGTAAGGCTAACCCCTTGCAATTTTTTTGGGAAATAGAAAATTCAATTTTTAGCCAAATTTTGATCAAAAAGTAAAGCTAACCCCTTATGATTTTTCTATTTTGACCAAAAGTTGAAATCACTTCAAACTTGCAGGGAAGAAAGAAAAGTCAATTTTTGGCCAAAATTTGATCAAAAGTAAGGCTTACCCCTTACAAATTTTCTATTTTGACAAAAAAATTGAAATCACTTGAAACTTGCATGGAAGATAGAAAAGTCCATTTTTGGCCAAATTTTGATCAAAAAGTAAGGCTAACCCCTTGCAATTTGTTGGGAAGATAGAAAAGTCAATTTTTAGCCAAATTTTGATCAATAAGTAAGGCTTACCCCTTACACTTTTTCAATTTTGACCAAAAAAATGAAATCACTTGAAACATGCTGGGAAGAAAGAAAAGTAAGTTTTTGGCCAAATTTTGATCAAAAAATGAAATAGCTTCAAACTTGCAGGGAAGATAGAAAAGTTTATTTGGGGCCAAATTTTGATCAAAAGTAAGGCTAACCCCTTGCAATTTTTTGGGAAGATAGATAAGTCCATTTTTGGCCAAATTTTGATCAAAGTAAGGCTAACCCCTTGCAATTCGTTGGGAAGATAGATAAGTCCATTTTGGGCCCAATTTTGATCAAAATGTAAGGCTAACCCCTTGCAATTTTTTTGGGAAATAGAAAATTCAATTTTTAGCCAAATTTTGATCAAAAAGTAAAGCTAACCCCTTATGATTTTTCTATTTTGACCAAAAAGTTGAAATCACTTCAAACTTGCAGGGAAGAAAGAAAAGTCAATTTTTGGCCAAAATTTGATCAAAAGTAAGGCTTACCCCTTACAAATTTTCAATTTTGACGAAAAAATTGAAATCACTTGAAACTTGCATGGAAGATAGAAAAGTCCATTTTTGGCCAAATTTTGATCAAAAAGTAAGGCTAACCCCTTGCAATTTGTTGGGAAGATAGAAAAGTAAATTTTTAGCCAAATTTTGATCAATAAGTAAGGCTTACCCCTTACACTTTTTCAATTTTGACCAAAAAAATGAAATCACTTGAAACATGCTGGGAAGAAAGAAAAGTAAGTTTTTGGCCAAATTTTGATCAAAAAGTAAGGCTTACCCTTTGCAATTTTTTTAATTTTGGCCCAAAAATGAAATCGCTTGAAACTTGCAGGGAAGAGAGAAAAGTCCATTTTTGGGCCAATTTTTGATCAAAAAGTAAGGCTTACCCCTTGCAATTTTTTGGGAAGATAGAAAAGTCAATGTTTTAGCCAAATTTTGATCAAAAAGTAAGGCTAACCCCTTACATTTTTTTCAATTTTGACCAACAAATTGAAATCACTTGAAACTTGCAGGGAAGATAGAAAAGTAATTTTTTGTCCAAATTTTGATCAAAAAGTAAGGCTAACCCCTTTGTAATATTTTTGGGCAAATAGAAAAGTCCATTTTTAGCCTAATTTTGATCAAACAGTAAGGCTTACCCCTTGCAATTTTTTTTTTCAATTTTGGCCAAAAAATGAAATCGCTTGAAACTTGCAGGGAAGATAGAAAAGTCCATTTTTTGCCATATTTTGATCAAAAAGTAAGGCTAACCCCCTTACAATTTTGGCCAAAAAATGAAATCTCTTGAAACTTGCAGGGAAGTGCAAAATTGTGATCAAAATGTAAGGCTTACCCCTTGCGATTTTTCAATTTTGGCCAAAAAATATGAAATCGCCTAATACTTGCAGGGAAGATAGAAAAGTCCATTTCGGGCCAAATTTTGATCAAAATATAAGGCTAACCCCTTGGAATTTTTTGGGAAGATAGAAAAGTCCATTTTTAGCCAAATTCTGATCAAAATTTAAGGATAACCCCTTGCAATTTTTCAATTTTGACTTAGAAATTAAATCACTTGAAACTTGTAGGGAAGATAGAAAAGTCAATTTTGGTTCAAATCCCGATCAAAAAGTAAGGCTAACCCCTTGCATTTTGTTTCTATTTTGGCCAAAAAAATGAAATCGCATGAAACTTGCAGGGAAGATAGAAAAGTCAATTTTGATCAAAAAGTAAGGCTAACCCCTTGCATTTTTTTCCAATGTTGGCCCACAAAATGAATCGCTTAAAACTTGCAGGGAAGACAGAAAAGTCCATTTTGGGCCAAATTTTGATCAAAAAGTAAGGCTACCCCCTTGCAATTTTTATAAATATTGGCCAAAAAATGAAATTTCGTGAGACTTGCAGGGGTTAATCCCACATGTCTCCAGGACACATTCCAACTCCATTTTAGGACAAATTCGCCATTCAAAAGAAAAACTGCATTTTGTAATTGTTGGCAATCATTGAGATGATAAGATGATGGAAAAAAGTGGTGTCAGGATGCAACTCCTTTCCCAAATAAATAAATAAATTAACCACACAAATTTTACAGACAAAAAAGGAAAGAAATTAACAATAGACATGTTTGTTTAAATTGGCAAAGCACCTCAGTCATTTTATTTCAATATTAACATCCAATCTTGATCCTATTATTACAGTAATCGTTGAAATATCCTTCTACATGTACATCATTAGTTTATACCAGTGTAGAAAATATGGATACACTATTGTAAACAAGTGACTCAATTTCAAAAAAAAGGTATTATGATTGTTCTGTCCTTTTTGTACCAGTGAATCAACCGTCAATGATAAGAACAAAAAACGCATCTGTCCAATTTTTTTCCTGTCTCAAAATGTACAATTTGTGTAAACAATTAAAAAGAGAAGACAGGGTGCCAGTTTTAGCTGGTAACCAATCATATGCAATTCACCTTTCGTAAAACATTCCTGGTACCCATTCAGAAAGTTAGTCGGTACCCTGGTTCAACGGTGGGTTTTCCACACCACTTGTGCGGCAAGAACCAATAACCATGGTTTGTTTCACTGGTTCACCGACTGTTTGTGCTTGCATTTCGCATGCAAGCAGAGTACCAGTACAAAAATAAGTAATTTTGCAGATTTTTATACCTGAATCTTTGCTGTGATTTTGAAAAATTTGAATCAAATAATTTACATAAAAACCAAAAAAACCTGTTAAATATTAAAATATTATTATTGTTCATTGTGATGAACAAGATCCTTAATCACTTCAATCAGAGAGATTCCAAAAACAAGTTTTTAAAATGTGACCTGTATTATGATTGAAAGTTTTATCTCCATTAGAACACTGCCTCCATATTGGTCTAGTCCCCTATGGCAATGTGCAGTCAGAACACAGGTTTTGAAAACACAGGCTGTGGTTACCAGCCTTCATGCCATCAATAATCTTACAGAATTTTGCAGGAAAAAGAGTTGACAGGCATGTGTTGAACTTCCCAAAAAAAAAAGTTTCATCATGTCAGAATAATTTTGTTCCATTTTTGGTCCTAAACAGAAAACTTCCGTTTTGTATACAAAACTACTGCACATGGACCAGCAGGGGTCTGTGAGACACAAAACCAATTAGTGTACCAATGGGCGGAGCCAAGTAAGAATTATAAGGGGAGTAAACTGATTACTTGCATATTGCCGAGGAGAAATTTGTTGAGATAAATTCTCTCTAGCGTTTCACCTTTCATGTGTAGTTGATACAATTAATACAGGTGTAGAATTAACAGCATGTAGAACTGACCATTCCTGCACTGCATTGAATTCCGTTTGCATTGATAGGGTCTACGTTCACACCAAGTTTCATGTTGTCTAGCTCTTACAGGTCATATCCAGTAAACAGTGGATGAACAATGACAAAGGAATGCCTTTGTCTCAGTTCATTTGAATAGCTTGTGACTTGACTTGTGATTGACTTGGGATGGCTTACAACTTTTGTGGCTGACAAAGAGAAAAGGACCTACTTATAGTCAATGTGTTCTGAGAAAAGGTCCAACTTATAGTCAGTGTGATCTCAGAAAAAGACCAATTTATAGTCAGTGTGATCTGAGAAAAGGACCAACTTATATAGTCAGTGTGATCTGAGAAAAGGACTAACTTATATAGTCAGTGTGATCTGAGAAAAGGACCAACTTATAATCAATGTGATCACATTGACCAACTTATATTCAGTGTGATCTGAGAAAAGGACCAACTTATAATCGATGTGATCACATTGACCAACTTATAGTCAGTGTGATCTGAGAAAAGGACCAACTTATAGTCAGTGTGATCTCAGAAAAGGACCAACTTATAGTCAATTTGATCTGAGAGTTCTTTTTAATTCCTTAAATTCATCTCCACTACCAGATTCTTCGATCTGACAATGCTACATTTTTCTACAAACTTAAAATCAAACTTTTAAAGAAACCGATTCTTCAGTAAAAAAAAACTGAAGAAAAAAAATAATCATAATCATTGTATCTTCAGAATGTACATTTCGGAACAAACCAAACTAACAAACATAAACAGAAAATCAACAGACATGGTCCCAAAGTTGGCATTAGTGAAATCCTTCACGAATATTCATAAGCAAATGATTTAAAATTCATGCATTAAATTTCTAGTACTATTAATTACACCACAGCATTTCTTTACGGAATCTATTCTGCAGGCATGCATATCTCTCCTTTTTTTTTTTTTACTTAATATTAAAAAATAATTTTACTTTTTATATCGTATATATAACAATTTCATGCAAATATATTCATATTAAAGCGTGTTCAAGCTGGCAGCGAAGAGCAGAAACAAATAACAATACCACATGGAATTTGGATTTTTTGGGAAAGATTATGAATATTCCTTGGATTTTTTGTTTTTCATATGCTGAGGAACATCTGCAGTTGGTTCATAATCTGGTCCGTTAGTGTGACGTCAGTTCAGTTTAAACCACGCCCACTGCACATTAAGTAGTATTGGGACCATTGGAACCGGAAGCTAACGCAACTTGAGGGTTTATCCAATGGTCGCTAGTAATCAGTGGTGCGGGCGTGTATGGCGCAGTCACTAACGAACCCGATAGGCCGATCCATAAGCCCTCCCACTGCACACACATGGGCAGCCATAATGCATGTTCCAGATGCGCGTCATATTCAAGTGTACACATGGCGAACATCGTGGGTGGGTTTGAGCATGTTACTCGTGTTAACAGGAGTATACTCCTGAGCGCGCCAACGGCAGGAGCATACGATCCGCAGGTTAGACTGGCAGTTAGTCTTGGCCCTAGGAAATCCTAGGGAGCAAATAAAGAAAAAGTTAAACCGCTGAAACGAAATGGCCAAGACGTTAGTGCGAGTAGGCCCGCTGGTCTAATTGTGCCATTAGAGGGCGCACTATGCACCGTCCACTATCGATCACTAGCGTCTCGGGCCAAGACTAACCGGAAGTGTACTCTTGCACCGACAGTAATGCACACGCAACATTTTCCCTTTCTCAGGAGTAGCAAGAGTAACACGCTAAAACGCACCCATGTGGGACATTTATCACTGTTGTGATTGGTCAAAACATTATGAGTGGGTGTGGCTTAGTGGATCAGTCTATTTTGTGTACGAGAAAAACGAAGCAAAATTTCATTATCTACAGTTTGTCAATGGAAAATTCTTTGCACACCTACTTTATGCAACACATATGCCTCCAAATACATGTCTGAGTTTTGGCTGGATTTTATCTTCCTAAATCCTTCAAATTCCTCCAAATAAACTCTCCTGGAGGACTTTGAGGGATATTGAAGTGCTAGGGTTGGGTGATATATCACAAGACATCACACAACTGTGTTAAACGCAATGGATACCATCTGCAAAAAAAGAGGCAATTTTTTTTTTGCTGATTCAAGAAACAATACAATAAATCTGAAGCAGGTTATCAAAAAAACAACTAACCTGTTGAAATTTCAGCTCAGTACATAGATATACTTTTTGTGGGAAAACTGTGAAAATGCTTTCTTTTTCTCAACAAAAACAAGTATATTGTTAAAAGCTCTCCTTTCCCAAAATGTTCAAAGTGTTGACTTTCAGCCTCTTGTGGTATGATCGACAGTTAGTCACTTGATTACATAATTCTCATTCGCAGGTATGCAAATTAAACAGAATTCGGTCAGTTGGGAGCATTTTTGATTTTTTTTTCTGGCGATGGTTTGGTCCTAACCAAAGCAAGGAAATGTCGGTGATTTCTCTTTTCTTATTAAAAATGACAGCAATCTAGGCCTGATGATTTCACAGGATGCTCGGATCCTATTATTTACTAACAATCAAGTAGGACATTTCATATTTTGGCAGTGTCGTGTTTTAATGTTTAGCAAAAGATGTCCATTACTTTAACGCAGAAAGAATCTTTGCCCTTTTTGTCTGCCGAGTTGCAATTCCTCCATTTTAATTTCGTTTTAATATTATGACCAAAATGTGAGTCTGATTACAAAAAAAGAGAGAGAAAAAGACCATTTATGACACGTTAAATTCCCAACAATTTTAAAGTAAAGTTTCCATTGCATGTTTCTTGCATAAATCAAACCTGGAAATCACAGTAAATTTCTACAAAAGCTTTCAACCTACACAAATCTATAATCAATTTTATTTCCTTCTGTAAAATTTCCCAAAAAACACAGTATTGTTGAAAAAGTGCATTGTGTAGATAAAGATGAAATTTTCATGCTTTGCCACTTCTCTAAGTTGCAAAGAAAAACGAAGTATGCAAATTCATATTTTTGCATATTCATTTGTACAGAAAGTGCACGACTTGACGACTAAAACTTTCAATTAAAAACACATATACATAAATTCAAATTAGATGCAAATTAGATGCAAGAATATCCGCTGCATATTCAGTGGGCCACAAAGTGCAAGGCTAGAAATCAATTTATAAAACGGTGATTACTAAAATATATCTTCAGCACAAAATACGCCTAAATGTTCTGAGTAACGAAGAAAGAAAAAACGATAAAAATTAAAACCCTTTGATCTATACAAGGAATTCAAGGAGTTCTTACATTACAAAAATCAAGGCGGTATGTTTTCATATTACTTTAGACTCTAGGTCAATACTTCTTTGTAAATATCAAAAATTTGAAACCGAAAAAATATTTCAAATCAGTTTTTACACTATCTACTTCATGATTTGTTCATCCCAATTTCGATGGTTATAACTGAAAATGTTTAACTATTTCTCAAAACGCAACTCCTAAATAAACATTTAAATGTCAACATAAACAATGACAATGAATTGATGATGCCTATTATTTTATGAATGCTTTAAAAAAGAAAAAGCCATGGTTTCTAAAGCATCTACTAAGCCTACAGAATGGCGCAAAAACTGAATCCTAATGAAATGAGAATGATTTGAGGTTTTTATTTATATTTTTAGTGGACGTGCGTATGTGTGCTGCATGATCATCTGAAAGTTTGTACAGTTTTTGAAGATGACATTTATTAATTAGCAGAAATGTATTTTATTTGTTTAGTTTGCATGTGCATGTCGCTTGCTCAGAAAGAAGTGTTGCTTTGAAGTTGTATGGTAAACGATTTTGTCATTATTTGGGGGTGGGTGGGTTAGCACAAAATTGACATTTCTGAGAGTGGTGCACGAACATTGGATGGTCTTACTATACCTCATACATATTCATGAACGAGAGCCGAATTCTTACTGGGCCATTCAACACCACGTGTTGATCAGCCGCTAGTTTTTTATTTACCAAGTGCGCACGCGACGATTCATGCAACGGGTAAATACGCATCTGCGCAGTCGACTATCCCATGGGTAACCCGTGCGACAATGTACTACACATGAGCTATCCTCGTTTGTGGGTTCAGTCGAATTATATCGTGTCAATGCATGTCTTGGCATAAGTTACTTTTACGACACCTTTAGCTTTTGGTTCCCCTCTTAAATCAAAGCCCTGTGCTCGAGCTCTTTCCAAAAAAGTAATTCTATTAATATTCAACATGGTATCACTGCCAGTTGTCTAGACTAGTCCGAAAAATTGGAGTGGAACTTTTTCGACTCCAAACCATAAAGAATGGGTATTTCGATCTGCTATATATAGGAATGGGGTCCTAAAAGTAACTTATGCTCAATTCTTCAGAATGCTGTGATATATTTTGAACAATTTTCAACCTTTTTGTCTGTGACTGCAGCTTTCGAGACGAATCGAGAGCTGGTTGGGGCATCTTTGTAACCATGGATACAAACTGGTACTCTGCAGTTTTGTTTGTGTAGACTTGCATTAGAACAGACACGCTGAGCTTTGTAACCAAGGATACAAACTGGTACCCTGCAGTTTTGTTTGTGTAGACATGCATTAGAACAAAGACACTGAGCTTTGTAACCACGGCTACAAACTGGTGCCCTGCAGTAATCTGCCTTGCATGGATACCAGCCAAAAACTGCTGTCCAATGAGCTCCGTCTGTTCCCCATTGTAAAAATGAACTGGGAAAACTGGTTAGACACAACCAGACAGTAGAAATAACCAACAATTCACAACAGTCAGCAAACAGTCTCTTTTTTCCAACTGACAAAAAACCCACAACATTAACCAAACTGGGGGGAAAATATCAATTTTTTTTTTTTAGATCTCATGCAGAACAGCGTCACTGTTGCAGCCAACACACGGCACTTAAAAACACTGTCAACAACTCATGCATAAATCACAAATTATTATCAATAATAAAAATTATCAGTTTTTCTTCAGATAAAGTTCTTTTACTGTTTGTCAATACTGCAAATTTTGAAACGCACCCAGAGAGATATTTGTATCAAATTCCTCTTAAACAAAATCTTCTGTAGTGGAGGAAACATCCAATTTCTAGAATTTTTAAAATTTCATTTCAGCAACTCAATGAATATTTGGGTGGCTCCGGCGAATATCTGAACTACTGTAAAATCTTCCGAGAAGTCAGAGAACGATCTTGATTGCTACGGACACACCACCACCAGATGGTGAAACGTTATCCATTCCAAAAAAAACAACCACACCATCACTTCAAAAAGATGTAGTAAAAAGTAACTTTCATTCCCAAACTTGGCACACCAAAAATTAACAGGGCCAAAGATATGAACTCATTCTATTACCAGAGATGCACTGTGCACAAATCTTCGCATCTAGAGTTACATTTATATTTTAACCAGTTCACGTCGGATGGCGTGTATACACGCAAAGATTTTGCAGTGTTCGGAACGGATGACGGATAAACACATAACGAGCAAGGCCAGAAATATCTGTCAGTGACCCGCTTGCAGCGAGCGAGGCCGGAAATATCAGGGTGTGCTACCCGCAGATGATGGCCTAAACCGGTCTGGCATCGTTCGTGAAAAACAATCCCACAACTGGGTCCGGTCAACATGAAAATAATCCCGGCGTGAACTGGTTAATAAGATTTTGTTTCTATTCACAAAACTATATGTTTTTTTTATTTTATTAAAATGCAAAGCAAAACTAAAAGACAAAGCTGACGATAATGTGAAAGCAACTGAAAAAAGAAAGAAAAAACAGACGATCGGAATATTGAACGACCAGATGATGGATTATATAAAAAATGGATGGTGTGAAAATACGTTACAATTCCTGTCAAAGTCGGAGACGACTTTTTCGGTGTATGCTCAACACTGCACACAGCCATTTATTTCCTAGAAATATGAGAGAATAAAAGATGATTATTTTTTTCTCATTAAACTTTCTCATTACTTCTTACAACGACAACAGATAAACCGTGAACTTCAGAAAAGGTTTCTGTGTGGTCCGGTGGTTACGGTGTTCGACTCGTGTGCCGTGGTATGTGGGTTCGAACCCTGACGGGGAACATGGTGCTTGTGTTCTTGAGCAAGACACTTTACTACAATTGCAATACCTTTGACAGTAGAGACCAGATTGCGCCGATCTCAAGCTGCTGCAGAAAAATTGTCTCATGGCTGTGGTATGTGGGTTCGAAACTCGACAAGCACCATGCTTGTGCCCATAGGCAAGACCCTTTACTACAATTGCCTCTCCACCCAGGAGAATAAATGGGTATCTAGTGAGGGTAGGGACCAGATTGCGCTGATCTCGAGCTGCTGCCGAAAAATGGCCTCCTGGCCTGATGAACAGGGGTAATAATTGTGAAGCGCTTTGAGACCTTTGGTGTAAAGCGCTTTATAAGCACCAAATTATTATTAATGAATACAGAATGTCAAATGTTATTTTCGAAATACATCAAAAATCAAAACTAATACAAAAAGGAAAAAATTGTATACCCAATGAACAAAAACGTGCAATATGGCAACTGTACTGCCACTACTTATCTGAGAATTTGCATAAAGATATTTATTGTACATGAGGAATGTCCTTTTCTTATTGCTGTATCAAATTCAAATAAGTATGTCTACTGATCATTTTTTTAATATTTTCAATTTTTAATTTTCGGCAATACTTAAATTTACAACAAAAAAAAGAGATAAAAATGCATATATCAAAAATATTTCTTTACAAGAAATTATCATGGAATTTTCAAAACCTTGTATCGTGCATTCCGTTCAAAAATACATCTGGTCCGCAAAAAAAAAAAAATATATATCAATGGTTTCCAGAATGATTCGGACTAAACTTTACTTGTCACAAGAGGGAGCTCTTTCTTGGGCATCAAGCAGTGTACATGACCAGCATGGCCACTCCTTCTGAGTTTTCCCAAGATCTTGGGAATTTAGGCCAGGCCGTGGGAACGTTTCTCTGAGCCTTGGGAATTTTTTTTTTCGTATTGAGAACACAGGAATGTTAATTGAAACACTTTGTGAGACCCATTCACGTAAAAATAGGGTCAATGCTGCCATTTTGATACATAATCCCGAGATCTTGGGAAATCTGGGGAATTTTTCGGAGGTCATCTTGCGATTTTCTAAATTGATGAGTGGCCACACTGTACATGATATTGGGGGTAATTTCATGAGGCTGCTAGTACAGAAACACGCTAAGCATGGACAATATGTGCTTAGCAAAAACTGGTAACCAGCCAAAATGCCATTCAATGTACACTGCTTCGGACTGGTTCTCCGCTCAGTTTCGCTCAGCAATAATTTCTCCTTAGCCGCTAATTTCATGAGGCTGCTGGTACAGAAACACACTAAGCATGGAAAATATGTGCTTAGCAAAAACTGGTAACCAGCCAAAATGTCATTCCATGTACACTGCTTCGGACTGGTTCTCCGCTCGGTTTCGCTTAGCAATAATTTCTACTTAGCTGCTCAGCGAAATTGGGCCGTGATCTGCTGTGGCAATGTGTAACTGCAACGCAATGTGTAATGAACTACATGTACAAAGCAAATATCTCCGGTTTGTAAATTTACCATTTAACTAAATGCTAGTATTTTCTTCCAACATGCGGTTTACGCCACAGGGTGATCCAAAATTTTGTTACACTTTTTCAGACGCAGATTTCTCAAAATTGGGGAGACATGTTTCAAGATATTCCTAAACTAAAATATCTTGGTGGTGAAAACGGTGTTGAAAACAAAGCTCAACTTAAGAAAAAGCGGTCATTTTATAGTACAGAAAATTGGTTAAAAAGTAGTTTGTCCAAGTCTATGCAGTCATTTAGACTTAATTTACAATATCACAATTCTTTGTGCACACACAGAGCAATTGCGTTGGTCGTATCTCATAGACTAAATTTCACTGATTTTTTGACCATCTTTCCTCAAACCATCGCCATTTCTTAATTGGGCTTTATTTTTTTTTCAGTGCCGTTTTCACCATATACCATAACCAAGTTGTATTTTAGGAATACAACAGTTTTAACATGTCTCCCCAATTCCATGATATCTGTGTCTAAAAAAAGAGTATAACTTTTTTTGGGACCACTCTGTGTATTGATTTGCAGTTTGAAATACTATTTATTGTGGATTCAAAAAGCCAGAAAGAAATTTAAGCTCTCAATCTGACGCTTGGGGGTGTGATTTTTTTGTGTTTTTTGTTCAATGCTTAATGGAATGGTTGATGAGTATATATGCCAATAAGTAAAAGTTATTTCAAAAAGGACAAATGTACATTTTTGTTTAGACAGAAAATCAAACTAAGTTGCATCGTTCCACATTTTGGACTTGTTGATGATTGTCCCAAAAGTTACAAATTTTGTGGTTTATAGGCACACGATCATAAACAGAAGTAAATTTTTTTTCCAAATATTTACACTTTTTGGTGGCTTTTTTGTTGTTTTAGTCTTGAAATGATTACCAAAACTTGTGACAAGTGGGATAATCAAGGCAAAAAAAAAATTCTACGATCATGGTTTAAAAAAACGTTCAATTACTTTCAAGATGAGATTTGAGTCAACTGACTCGTATTCACAAAACTAAACTTGGATTAAAAAAAAATCAAAAACATTTATTGCTAAATTTTAAAAAAGAACAAAACACAAAGTTAAGACGACAAACGAGTCGTCAACAAGAAAACTCAAAGTTGTACCAGACGACGCTCTCTGTCCGTACACAGAAAAACTAATTTTTGGAAAGTAAATTTCTCATTAAAAAAAAACAAAAACTTCACGTCTAGAAGCATTTTGCCCTCAGCTGTACATAATTACTAGAACACATTTTTATTGGGAAAAACTATAAAACAAAAGTGATGGTTTACAGAAGAGGGGAAAAAAATGACATAAAAATGACAACATGACAAATAAGATGGTACGGTAGAACAGCTTTGATAGGATGAAGCCCTGAATTTTCTTACAAGTTCTGGAAGGCGTTGTATTTAGACTTCCAGTCGGCACTGGAGGCAGCCTTCTTCTTCTTCTTGCCAGCGGCTAGGGCTCTGGCCTTGGCCATGTCCGACAGGTCCAGACCGCCCTTCTGGGGAGCCTTAAGATTTGAGAAAAGCGGTACAGAAACACTAAGGTTAGTGGTACATAAAAAAAAGTAAAGGGGACGAACCTGTGTTCACAGGAACGGAGTGCTCATCTCTCTTTCATTAGCGATTGGGCCAGACTCATATGCTGCTGTGGGGGGAATCTCGCCACACCTTCTCCACAGCGAGTCTGTTACCTTCCCAGCATTGAATAATGCCGGTACCCATTTAACACCTGGGCTGAGTGGAGTAATTGAGGTTAAGTGCCTTACTCAAGGGCACAACACGCATGGCCACGGCGGGGCTCGAAACCCACAACCTCACTATCATGAATCCTGTGCTGTACCGCTAGACTACACGTGCCCTTTAAGTGGTACATATTGTACACACACTAATTTTTGTTGGGAAATTGTGAGGAATGTGGGACTCGAACCTCTGACCACTTAAATACTGTACCGATACAGTAAGTGGTACAAAACACTAAATTTGTGGGAAAATTGTGAGGAATGCAGGACTCAAACCTCGGACCGCTGAAATACCGTACGGGTACAGCAAGTGGTACAAAACACTAAATTTGTGGGAAAATTGTGAGGAATGCAGGACTCAAACCTCGGACCGCTGAAATACCGTACGGGTACAGCAAGTGGTACAAAACACTAAATTTGTGGGCAAATTGTGAGGAATGCAGGACTCAAACCTCGGACCGCTGAAATACCAAACAGGTATAGTAAGTGGTACAAAACACTAAATTTGTGGGAAAATTGTGAGGAATGCAGGACTCAAACCTCGGACCGCTGAAATACCGTACCGGTACAGTAAGTAGTACGAAACACTAAATTTGTGGGGAAATTGTGAGGAACGGGGGACTCGAACCTCTGACCACTGAAATACCCTACCGGTACAGTAAGTGGAACAAAAACACTAAATTTGTGGAAAAATTGTCAGGTTTGAGGGACTCGAACCTCAGACAACTGAAATACTGTTCCAGTTCAGTAAGCAGTACAAAAACACTAAATTTGTTAGAAAATAGCGAGGACTGCTAGACTCAAACCTCCGACAACTGAAATACCGTTCCAGTACAGTGCGTGGCACAAAAACAGTGAATCTGTTAGAAAATCGCGAGGAATAAGGGACTCGAACTTCTAACTGCTGAAACACTGTACCGGTGCAGTAAGCGGTACACACACTGACTTTTGTGGGGAAATTATGAGGAATGTGGGACTCAAACCTCGGACCACTGAAATACTTTACCGATACCGTACATGGTACAAAAACACTCAATCTGGGGCAAAATAGGCTTTATAGCTCAGTTGGAAGGGCACCAGTACGCTGCTTCGGAGGTTACAGGTTCAAACCCTGCTCCAGTCCATTTCTTAGTTCAACTGTGAATTTAAAAAAAAAAATATTACGGGGGAGGGGACTTTACCTCAGCAGGTCTTTCTGGTTTGGAGGCCTTGGCCTTCTCAGTGGCTTTGGGCTTGACGGGTTTGGGCTCTGGCTGTGGCTCTGGCTCGGGGGGCGAGGGCGCTTTGCTCTTGGAATGGTCCGGCTCGTCCACGACGACGGGCACTGGGGTAGGGACTTTGGCTGGCTCCGGTTCGGGCTCCTGACACCAAAAAACAAGGAAAATTGTGCAAACCTTCACATTTGTCAATTCTCTCCAAAATGCCTTAAACTTCAAAAAAGCTGCGACCTCTAAAAATTTTGAAGACAGACGCAGACTGCAAATGTGCAGTTAGAATTAGGGTTTGTGTTCCAATGCATTGTGGGACAGCAGCGAAAACTGTCTTAGGCCAAAAAAAAAAAGTCTCCGGTTTCTGGTATGCGCGCGCGTCGCCGTAGCCATGCGCGTCGGCAAAATGAAAAAGTTTTTTTTTCAATGAAAGATGATGTCTCCAAACCGCCAAACTCACTGGTTTGACTGGAATCCTGCTGCTGCACAATTTTAACGTGTTTTTAGATTAGGTTATGGTCGAGAATAAGCTTTATGTGGCCCCTCTGGACTCCCATATATTTGCATGACGTTTAGTCGGGCACCATTTGCAGTCATCAGCACACATTTGAAGCAAAAAAATCAGGTAAAAAAAAAAAAAAAGCCGCGTCGCCGCACCACTTTTTGGGCAAGCTCCATACCAGAAACCGGAGACTTTTTTGGGGGGGGGCCTTAAGTGTTATTTTTGCCGAATATTTCGATTTTCGCAAAAGGCCAAATTTTTCAGCCAACTTCTGATACACAGCCAAACCCCACAAATGCTGATTCGCAAGAGTCAACAGTATTTGTACAATATTTCTTGCCGAAACCTCATATGTTTCAATATTCCGGGGTATGCGCTAGAGCATAAATTGTACAATAGGCCGTGCACAACGGTCAATTCAAGATCAACACACGGTCCACCTCCACAGACTTCACGGACTTTGTGTGAACAAAAGACACGAGGGATAAGCCTGTTAAGACGTCACCCGGAGGCGAGTCGAGGCAATCTTGACGATTTAACCCGTCAGCCGGGCCTGTGTATTAAAACAGCCAGTGCGTGTTATCACGTCCTCCAACGCGAACTGGTTAATATGGGATTAACAGTTTTTCGACGGCACTTTTTTTTTGTTTTAATGCAGATCAGAACCGGTATAAATACAACTATCTTCAACTGATGGTCCTCGACGGTGAACTCATGACTGAATAAGAGTTGGTAAAACGCTGTAAATATTATCAGTAGCAAAAGCGTTTAAGCAGCATTAAACTCCCAGCTTTATCTCCCCCCCCCCCCCCCCTTTACATGTATTAAAGTAAAGGACGAACAATTTACTTGGCAACCTGCCTGGACGAAAGGCATTTTTGCTTGGCCGCAACCTTAATCCTGCAAAATCCTCCAACTGCCTCCATGTAAAAATAGCATACATCCTCAATCCTCCAAAATCCTCCGTTATTTCTTGAATGTGGTCCTTGGAGGGGTGACCACTGCCTCAATCCTGCAAAATCCTCCAGCAATCACTGTCAATATGTTTGAGGCAGAGCCAGTGACACCCTGGAGCAGTGCGGAAGATTTCAAGTGTATAATCTACTGCCTAGATTTATGCATGGCTGGACAAACAACACAAGGTCCGGCCCCAAGACCTTGACACGGTGCATCCTCCAAAATCAGCCACGCATTTTTGCCATATAGCCTCAATCCTGCAAAATCCTCGATTTTGCAAAGAGGATTTGGGAGGATTTGAGAAGGTTAGGGTATTAAAAGGTTATTAATAAGAGCAGGGAAAAATACACTTAAGACCATTTTTGGGGTGAGGGGAGTCTTACCGGTTCTGGTGTGGGCTCTCGCACAGGTTCTGGTGTGGGGGCCCTCACTGGTTCTGGTTCAGGGACTGGTTCGGGTTCAGGTTCCTACAGAGGGTTGTGTATGTGTTGACAATTTGTTGGTTGGTTTTTATTTTTTTTTCTTGGCAACATATACATGTATGACACCAAAATCAATTAGAAAGTTCTATCACAAATCCTGACTACATGCAAGTGGTTCAAACATACAGAGTCTCAACAAATCTCAATTTTCACCTACATTGTACATGTTGTAAAAGCATTCATTCACAATGTCTGCCTGTTAGGCCAAAAAAAAAAATATTCGGTCTCTGGTCAGACCAAAGTCCCGGAATTGACGCGGCCACGCGGCTTTTTCTTTTTTTCTTCTTTTTTTTTTTCTTCAAGCTTGGATTGTACAGAAAGGGTGGGGTACTATTTTGCTTTTTTGGTGTCCTCATGTACATTGGTGTCCTCCATAATTTGCCTTGGTGCTTTCGATCATTTGCCTTGGTACAATTTCCCCATTCCTTGGTGCTCTTTGATAAAAAAAAAAATTGAGGAGGGGCGGAAATAGAGGGCGCTGTTAGAGCTACCGCGGAACATTTTGAAAACAAAAAAGGATTGACGCGCATGATTAAAATCGACGTGCGCGCTGACCAGAGACCGACTAATTTTTTTGGGGGGCCTTACTTAGAATTTTAAAATTCACCGACTGCATTCTGCACTCTGTTGTTTATGTTATTTCAATTAGACATTTGAAAACCTTTGTTGATGCTTGATCAATGTGTAAAAAAATCACGTCCAATGCTTTGCAAAGAACAGTGTCCAATTGTGTGCGATATGTGCTAAAAAAAAAAAAACAACCAAGAAGTGACTTGCCACATGTCAGGCCTGCTCAGTTTTGTTATCTGTTAATCAGTAAAGGTCACCGAATCATTAACAAAGTTCATCGATTGCATATGATAAAACTGCGCCAGACACTGCAACGGTTGGTCATGTAATAATGCACACACTAAAAGAACAGTGAGTCGGCTCAGTGCTGAAAGAGCTATTGATTAGATTGCATGCATTCTTGCCAAAATATCCAGACTTTTAAAAAGGCCTTTAAAATTTAGGCTATACAGGGCAGTAAAAAAAACACCTCAACCTCATACTTCCAATATCCAGGGACCTAAACAATGTATGGCTAGGAAATTTTGTCAGAAGGAAAAATGATACCAAGAACTCCAGATTCGGTCCAGTAGGTTTGACTCCAGCAGCATTTTTGTGAGCCGAAGTCAGGGGTTCAGATAATCCTTTTGTTCACTATGTGCGACGAGAGCCCGTGACTTTGGTTCACAAAAATGACGCTGGAAGCAAAACTACTGGACCGAATCGGGAATTCTTGTATCATTTTCCTTCCAACAAAATTTCCTAGCCATATATTAATGTAGGTTTCTGCATTGTGGAAGTATGAGTTTGTTTTTTTTGTTTGGACCATCATGTATACTTGTAGGATTAATTGCAATAATCTAAGAATCCAACCAAGCATGTTATCAGGTTCATTAGTGTGACGTCAGTTCAGTTTAAACCAGGCTTCGGCCAAAAAAAAAAAGTCTCCGGTTTCTGGTATGGAGCTTGCCCAAAACGTGGTGCGGCGATGCGGCTTTTTTTTTTTTTTTTCCTGATTTTTTTGCTTCAAATGTCGGCTGATGACTGCAAATGATGCCCGACTAAACTTAGTGCAAATATATGGGAGTCCAGAGAGGCCACATAAAGCTTATTCTCGACCATAACCCAATCTAAAAACACGTTAAAATTATGCAGCAGCAGGATTCCAGTCAAACCAGTGAGTTTGGCGGTTTTGAGACATCATCTTTCATTGAAAAAAAAAAAAATTTCATTTTGCCAACGCGCATGGCTACGGCGACGCGCGCGCATACCAGAAACCGGAGACTTTTTTTTTTATGGCCTTAGTCCTGGTTTTGGAATGAAATGAAGTCACGCATGCTTAGATATATCAGACGTTAGACAGGAGACTGGGCTCCGTGGATAACAGGTGCTTCTAAGACTACATCAAGATCGTTTCGGTTTGCGGTAACACCATGAGGTAATAACTACTGCTTAGAAGATATTAGTTCTGAAAAGAACTTGTCCTGCTTATTATCAACTTTGCTAAGTAGTTTTTTGTTCTGATAAGAACAGTCCCCTGAACAGTCTCCTGACGATGACTAGAGCAGGCTAGTCGAAACGTTGAGACCAAAGACAAGTTCGTTTAGAACTTACAGCAGGACTGTTCTTATCAGAACAAAAAACTACTTAGCAAAGTTGATAATAAGCAGGACAAGTTCTTTTCAGAACTAATATCTTCTAAGCAGTAGTTATTACCACATGGTGTTACAGCAAACCGAAACGATACCCCACCATGGAAAGCCTCAAATCTTATACATCAAGCTTCATTCAGCACTGAGAGAACAAGTGAACATATGAACTGCTACAAACACAGACTGTGCCCAAGGCAAATTCCTGTACGTATGCACTTGAAAGGTTGTCACACTAAACACTGCAATAGAACCAACACTGTGATCACATGTGACTCACCCAGAGAGTTATTTTAGACAGCTTTTTTTTTTGCTTTTGTGTTGGGAAAAAGGGAATTCCGTTCTTCATTCAACTTATAAGAATAATGGAGTTTCAGGATCACAAATGGATTTTTCAAATAATATACCAGTAAGTTTGTACAATTTTTGTATGGCTCGTTTCGACAAGTCCATATGGCTGTGTACATTCACAATTTTTTTAAAGGAGTTTTTGTTCTTTTTATTCTACATGAACCAATACCGGTACCTAGTGACAAATCAGTAACAAACTTGATACAATACAGCAGGATGCATCTTCAATATTTCTGGACAGCATACAATGTCATAATGATGCAATGTTAAAGGGAATATACAACATTTGCAAACATCACAAAATGAAATGATCAAATTATCATGAAATACCTTACTGGATTGTTAGGGAATGACAGTCTAAAGCATCCTGTAAAATCGTGGCTCCTGGTGTGCCATCATTCTCAAGAAAAATGGTATTTTTCCAACGCTGGTCGGCCGACCAGCGTTGGAAAAAACTGGCTTTTTTTCAAAACCTGCCTCTAATTTTTCATAATTAGTTATTCATTGTTTTCTTTGCAAGTGATTGCACACCTGTGAAGGGGTACAAGCCTGCTAGAGTGATTCTCTGACTTTACAATTCCCAAAAGTCTATAAATTGCTCCGTTTCATCTAAAGTGGGGTCAGGGAACCAGACTGCAAGAACATGATAGGTTTTCTTGGTTTTTCCAACATCTAAAAGCCCAAAACGTGAAACAAGTCATTTTAACAAAGTTGCTATAACATACTAATCCTCCAAACCCATTTATTTCTGAAAATTGCAGCAAAAGCAAATGTTGTACATTCCCTTTAAACACTGTAAATTATCTGACCGATCACCACAAAATGAGTAAAATTTGGACTTTTACTTCTTTTTTTGAAGGGGGGGGGGGGGGTGTAACATTAAAGAAACCCAAAATTACAATGTAAGATAAAATAGTGGTTACGATGGTTAGTAATCACGGCAAAAACACACATCATTAGTACGAGGTTGTTGAAATGTCTCCAGGGAACTTAATTGACATACTCTTTTTTGGTTACATGTGTTGGTTATTTATTTATTTTAATTTTTTTTTGTATGGGTGATATGGTTGCTTGATGGTGTGGGACGACACTCAGACTGGGCGAGTCTAACTGGTTCCGCAGTGGGTTCAGTATGTTAATGTGGGTGACCATGCAAAAAATGTCGTGTAACATAGAGAGTGTGCGTATGGTGATTATTGTGTTGTACACGTAGTATGACAAATGTGTGATGTTATGTGGTATTGAGCGTGGTGTTACGTTGGTATCAAAGGGGAATGGTGTTACATTGTGTTTGGTATCAAAATGAGTGCGGTGTTATATGGTACAAAGAGAGAATGGTGTTATTTGGTATCAAATTGAGTGTGGTGTTATGAGGTATCAAAAGTGTTTTTGTGTTATGTGGTACAAAGATAATGCAGCATATACAGTCGACTCTCGTTAGTAAAAACTCTGTTAATACAAAATTCTGGTTACAACAAACATAAAGCCTTGGTCCCGACTGTGCATTTAAATGCGCAATGAATGGGACTGATGTTCCCCTTAATACAAAATTCTGATACAACAAACAATTTGGCTAGGTCCGAACGAGTTTGTTATAACGAGACTTGACTGTACCAGTATGTATGTTATTTGGTATTGAGCATGGTGTTATCAGTGGTATCAAGGGGGAAGTGTGGCGATATGTGGTATCAAAAATTGTGGTTTTATTTGGGATTGAATGCGATGTTATGCGGTATCAAAAGGGAACGGTGTTATTTGGTATCAAAAAGAGTGTGATGTTACATGTACCTGTAACGGTATGTGGTATTAAAAAGTGTGGTAATATGTGTGTTAGATGTATGTGGTGTAAACAAGAGTGGTGTTTATGTGGTTTCATAAAAGTGTCTTGTGCCGTGTTATATGGTATCAAATGGCGAGTCTGGTGTTATGTTATGTGGTTTCAAACAGGATGCGGTATGTGATATCAACACAAGTCTGAACGTCAAAGTTCAAACATGTTCCAAGTCGGCTTTTCAGTGTGATATTACTTACTAGACAAAAACAACTGACATGGGCATGTATCACTCAAATAGGAAGTGTCCGTGATTGATTTCATGAAACTTGGCATCAATGTATGAACCAGTACATGTACACAATGTTTGCAATTAAAACCCTACCCCCCTAGTCCTTCCTCAGGACTACCCTGCTAAATCCAACAGAGTCCAACCGGAACTTTCCTGTTCAATCCACTGTGCCTCATTTTCAGTTGTCTGCTGAATCCAACGGAGTCCAACAATGCATTATAATGCGGTTCAGTTGCCTGCTGAATCCAACATTTTGCACGAGGAATGTACACAAGGGGTTTACTGCTCAATCCAACAGGCTCCATCGGGTATGTGACATAGTTGGATCCTGTTGGATTCAGCAGGGTTAGGGTTAATTGCGTTTACGACGGCTGTTTTGTGTATGATTTTAACCCCCCTCCCTCTCAACCCCCCATCCTCCTACACAGATCACTGTAGCACTGTGTTTAACCGTTTCAAAGGAAATGCCGTCATTTCCTTGAGGAACTATGTTACGAGTCGAGTGTTACATGTACAAGGAAGACAGATTGTTTTATCAATGAGTTTATTACACACTGTTAGTGCCCCCCCCCCCAAAAAAAAACCCCAGAATAACTACCGTAATTTTCGGAATATAAGCCGCGCGGCGTATAAGCCGCAGCACGCAAAAATCTGCAAATTAAGATTTGAAGTCGGCGTATAAGCCGCACCGGCGTATAAGCCGCACCGACCGCTGCGGTTTCAATTTTGTAAGGCCTCCAAATTCTAGTCAAAATGCTCTGAACCAGTTCCATTCACACTACAGAAGCTATTAAAAGGACCCCAAAAGTTATATCAAATCATTTACAATTGATACTTTTACAAACAAATATGGGAATTGATGAGAAATAAACACCGGGAACTGCTGCCGGCTGCCCCGTCATAGCCCGGCAGCCTGCGCCACGCACGCCGGTGAATGACAACATTTTCCCACAGCACGTGAGAGAGTATGAAACCCACCGTGTGTTGTCTGACTGGAGCGCTACAAATCTTGCTTTGTGGCAACAGATGCTGATTTGTTTTGTCCTAAGAATAAACAGGTCCGTTTTTACCTCAAAAGTTATCAAATTGTTGCGATTAGTTGCGAGAAAAATTCAAGTTTCGATCGTAACTTTCTTTGGAAATAGTCAAAACGAAGCGGACATTTTAATAGACGATTCCATTAATTTTGTAAGGGGTGATTTAGTCCCTCTTTTGAGTTTTACATCGTTTCTTGAATACATTTCAAGAAAACAAAATATATTGTGACGTTGAACAACTGATTATGTAATAAAAAATGTTTCGAACGCCATAAAAATTGTAGTGGTCTTTTTTCTTTGGTTTTAAACAGTGAAAATATTGGTAATTATTGTTCCCAAGAAAGAACACCCCTTTGTTACCACAAATGGTGTGGTCCGCTGTTGGGAAAGCATGCCTGCATATCGCTGCTGCACTGTACCAGTATCACGTACGGCTGGTGGCAAGTGTCGAAGACAGCTTTTATCACCGTACTTTTTTTACCGCTCGATACCTTTACGTAAAACGTGGTTTCGGTTTGTTAATGACTTTCTTAATTTATAATTCATTTCAGCAACATATCTCTTCTTATACCAGTACATTAAATACACATGTGAATTTCATTTTTATTCTTCAAGGCTCGGCGTATAAGCCGCCCTGTGTATAAGCCGCAGTAAACATTTTCATGGGCAAAATCAACGTATAAGCCGCGGCTTATATTCCGAAAATTACGGTATGTGAGCTTTGTGAAACCAAAATGAAATCCTATGTTAAAGATACATTTACTGGTGGAATACATCATTTGTCATTTGTGCATTTGTTTCGTTTGAAGCCAAAAAAGTGCTCAAAATCTAAAGAAGGGTGCTGAACAACTAACCTGATGAAATTTCAGCTCAGTGAATGCTGTATTTTCCGAGAAAACAATATTCTAGGATCTCCATTTCATTCAAAAGTCGCCCGAAATCAGCGTCCGGGACATGTTCTCATTCGGTCGATTGCAGCTATGCGATGTCACTCATTGCAGCTTGCGCGCACTCATTCACAGCTTCGCCGAATTAAAGAGGAACTTTTAGTGCTCAAAATCTAAAGAAGGGTGCTTCAACTAACCTGATGAAATTTCAGCTCAGTGAATGCTGTATTTTCCGAGAAAACAATATTATAGGATCTCCATTTCAATTCAAAAGTGGCCCGAAATCAGCGTCCGGGACACGCTCTCATTCAGTCGATTGTAGCTATGCGATGTCACTCATTGCAGCTTGCGCGCACTCATCCACAGCTTCGCCGAATTAAAAGAGGAACTACTAACGGACATTTCAAAAAATGCGTCTGTAGACGCATCGTTGAGTGGTTGAGAATGGCCTTTTTATATTGTTTTCTTCAAAATGACAGCATGCTTGAAAGAGTAATTTCACAGGGAGTTTAGTACCATTACCATCTTTAAACTGAGTACATGTATGTGTTCAACAGTAATTTGGTCAGTTACTTTTTGGATAGCTGCAAATGATGGACTCTACCTTTAATGGTGTGCATTTGGTATCAGACACGTGTGGCACTACGAACAAGCAAGGTACATACATACATGTACCATACAATGTACGTCAAAACATGTGAGGTGGTTCGTTGTTAATGGAACAATCACCAAATTCTTGGGGCATTTCCCAAACCTCGGTTTAAGCCTACAGCTTTGGCTACATCTCTGGTTTCAGTATACTGCAACTCAAAAGCCTTTCATGTGGAGAACCCTTGTTATAACTTTGGCACTGTAAACATCCATTATAGGATTTGATGATCCTACAGAGAACAATGTAGAACTATAAAAAGATGGAGCCCTGATGTAGCAGGGTCATAAAAGCCTTCTGAAGCCAAAGTCAGATTTGAAGCCGAGGTTTGGAAAATGCCATGTACATGTGCAGGAGTGTTAATATACCGGTATCCATGGTGACAATATGTGTTGATGTGTTACTTGGTTACATGTAGATGGGATGGGAGGGGGGTGGGGATGACGGTGGGGAAACTGCCTTACCGGTTCCGGTGTGGGTTCTGGTGTGGGTTCTGTAACGGGTTCTGGCTCTGGTTCGGGCTCGGGTTCCTACAGAATTTGTCACGCAATGCTCCTTTTAATTTCTCTCCAAATTATAGCTCAGGACAGTAACGTGCTTAGCATGAATATTATTCGCTTAGCGAAAACAGGTTTACCAGCCAAACTCTCACTCAATGCATACTGTCTGCGACTGGTTCTCAGCACATGAACTTGCTAAGCAGTATTTTCTGTTCTCCGCTAAAAAAACATGGGGTCCAGGTGGTTTTCGCTGGCTTTTTCCTTGGTGGATAGGGATGCTTGAATGACGTCTGAAGGACGCCAGACTATCGACCCTCACAGCTACAAGCTTTGGCTGAGTCAAAGGCTGTCATACTTACATGTACCCCTTAGAATTTTCACAAGAACTTTGATTTTCTCACACCCACAGCTGCGTCCCTAAATTAGGAACAAATTGCTTCAAGTCTACGAGCGTGAAATTCAAGGTGCAGTCGCAATCGTTCGGATTGATCGGCACCGACATTCTGGAGAGCTCGGCGGCAGAAAATGATTAAAAAAAGTTGGGGGAAAGGTTTCCAAAAAGTTTTAAAAATTTTTTTAAAAGACAGCGGCATTACAACTATTGAAAGAAATTAAAAGTACACGGTACTTCAGCGAGTTATTCTCTGCTCTAATAATATCATTGAAACAGGAAGCGCATAATTTGCAAGTTGTACTACAAAAAAGGAAGGAGAGTTGCCCCATAAAACTCGGAAGAACCGAAAAAATAATCAATGCATGCATACCGGTTCTGGTGTTGGTTCTCGCTCGGGTTCTGGTTCCAGTTCTGGTTCCGGTGAAGGTTCCTTAAATATCAAGCAAAAGTAATGGAACATTTCAATGACAGAAAAACAACAAAACAAAACAGAAACAAAATCAGGACAAAAACCAGAAGTAAAGAAAGTCTCCAAAAACTGCTCGCTGTTGTTTCTCAAGTGACTGGCCAGAAAACAGTTAAAATCAAGCAATTTATAAAAAAAAAAAGAGGAAGGATGTACCGGTACTGGTTGGCATTTGAAAAAATTTGACTATCGGGCCAAATCCCGGGATATTTTAACAAACATGTTTGGAGACTCGACAACAACAACAGACAAAATTCAAATTCTGCAAAGGGTAAATCGGTTGTGAAATGCTACATGTACATGTAGGTACTCAGCAAAAAAGCTTTTAACACCAAACAGAAAGCGGATTTTCTCCAATCTCATTGGTGTGCTTCACAGCATTTCAACACCCTTTCTTAGCACGATGACGTATGTGTGCGACTTTAGAATACTGCGGGGGCTACAGTATCCTACTGTTGACCATGGTAAGAATTTACATGTGACCTTTCCATCAGTGGCTCCTTGAAAAGTTAATTTAAGCCACTTAAAAAAACACCGGATTAACATTTAGGATGCGGACTATTTGCCTAAAGTTCATAGTTGTTTTACGTTGTCGAAAGCATGTAAAACCAGTTTTAGTACCAATTTGTACATGCACAAAACACCTGGTTCATATCTGTTATTCATAAATACCTCAGACAGTTTAGCCATTCCCATTGGTCGAGAGCCCGTCACGTGGCCGGTATTAAACGGATGATAAAGACATGGCTAGCTGGTCTTAAACACTTTTCAAGTGTCACAATAAAATGTGGACTCCTAAAAATCCAGTGCCTCTTACCGTTTCATTGGTTGAACGTTCACAATCCTCACGTAGGCATGCGCAACACTACAAGCGAATCAGAATTTTATAGTTCTAAATTCAAAACGCAACGCCCCAGGTGCGTTCTGCGTGACATCGCGCAGAACATGTTACGCGCGCGTCAATCTCCATAAAAGGGTTGTTTACATCTTACTCGCCAGCTGAACACTCCATTATTTTGCTAGAGGGATGTTTCAAAAAGCATGAAGTGAACTTGTTGAACAAAATCGGGATTTTTTGAACGAATTATTTGAAATTTTTTTACGGATAAGGTATTTATGAATGGGAATAAATATGTGCTCGGTCGGTATTTATCACTCGTTTAATACCGCTTAGAGTCTGGGTGCTGATAATTACCCTCGCCTCCGGCTCGGGTAATTATCAGCACCCAGACTCTAAGCGTTATTAAACGAGTGATAAAAACCTCCAGAGCACACATTTATTCCCTTATTTAAGTTTCTTTCCCCTAGGCCATCAGCCTCGGTCCAAAATTTTGGCCGCCGGTATCAAATGAGGGGAATAATCGTCATAGCGATTTTTGGCAAGGTATACACCTCCAGAGTTGGAAAATATGTGAAAGCATTGCAGCGGTGGCAGCTTTTTGGGTGTTATCACCCTTTTTTTTCAAAACGTCCGTCAAAATGCTTGTTACCACTCTAGGGGCGGTATACCTTGCGCATGCGCACTATCATCATTTATGCCGTGATTTGATACTGACCAAACCCCCAGGCTGATGGCCTATACCTTGCTCTTCAACGAATTCAATTTTGTTTTCTTTTAATAATTTTTAACTTTTATTTTGTATTCCACTCCGAAAAAACTCCCTTTCCCCCCTCTTTTTACGGGTTTCATTTTTCAAAATGTTTATTTGGCACGAACAGATCCATCTTGCAAACAGACTGGCTCCCGGTCAGTACATTATCGAAACTGATTGAGGTGAGGTGGGAACCAGCCTACATGTACCTCGCGAGAATGGAATTATTGTCAGAATTATTGTTAAGTTCAAATTGTAATTTTTACACGTTATTTAAACTGTACACTTTTTGGAAATAAATTTTGGATTACAATAGCACATGAGACTCCAACGTGAATAAATCTAAAGATTCTGGATATAAAATCAAATGAAAAATAGAACATAATTTTTCTTTCAACTTAACAAGTATTTTCAGCCCTTTTCCCCCAAATTATATTATTGTGGTACAACGTACATGTACATGGTGTACATGTATATGAACAACCTTTTTTGTTTTGGTCGTGTCAACCAAAAACGTGTTAGTACCGGTATTTTTGATCACAAAATTAACTGAATGTGCTTGTACCGGGTAGAACAGGACATCTTCAAATGAACCCATGCACATAAATAAAACACTTGAATAAAATTGCCAAACCACGTCATTCAGCACCTATTCAATTATTTATCGTCAGTCAATTGCCTGATACAGTATAATATCTCACTGGATCTGACTGTTAAAGGGAATGTACATCATTGGCTTTTGCTGTAATTTTCAGAAATGAACTATTTGAGGGGTTAGTATAATAGATCAAATATTGTTTAACTGACATGTTTGAAGTTTTGTGTTCAAAAAATGCTTGAAAAACCAAGAAAAACAAAATTGTTTAAGTAGACTGGTTCCCTGACTCCACTAAAGATAAAATGGATCAATTTATAGATGTTGGAAAATTGTAAGGTAAGGAAACCAGTCTAGCTGGCCTGCACCCGTTCATGAACATGTAACCAATAGCAAACAAAATTTGGACTGAAAAAAGTGTAAAGTTGGAGCAGTAGTTGAAAAATAGTTAGGTTTTTCCAACGGTGGTCGGCCGACCACCGTTGGAAATGTATACAAAAATACAATTTTCTTGAAAATGACTTCACACCAGGTGCCATAATTTTACAGGATGCTTTAGACTGTCATTTACCAACATCCTAGTAAGGTATTTCGTAAAAACTTGGTAGTTTTATTTTTCGATGTTTGCAAATGTTGTATATTCCCTTTAAACTGTACACTTTTTGGAAATAAATGTTGGATTACAAGAGCACATGAGACTCCAACGTGAATAAATCTAAAGATTCTGGAAATAAAATCAAATGAAAAATAGAATAGAATTTTTCTTTCAACTTAACAAGTAGGCCTATTTTCTGCCCTTTTTTCCCAAATTATGTTTTTGTGGTACAACGTACATGTGCATGGTGTACATGATGAAAAACCTTTTTTTTGGTCATGTCAACCAAAAACGTGTTAGTATTTTTGATCACAAAATTAACTGAATGTGCTTGTACCAGGTACAACAGGACATCTTCAACTGTATACATGCACATAAATAAAACACTTGAATAAAATTGCCAAACCACGTCATTCAGCACCTATTCAATTATTTATGGTCAGTCAATTGCCTGATACAAAGTATAATATTTCACTGGATCCGACTGTTAATACTTGTATTGATGATTATGTACGTATACATACATATACATGTATTTATTACAAAATGCACGTTCAAGTACATGTACCGGAACACGTGTTAATGGCTATATGAATTAAACTTTAAACTGCACGTAAACATGTGCTGGTACATGTACGCAAACAGATTACTCTTTCAGCATCACAGTACAAAGGCTCTGTATTTGTACATGTGTAAACACATACATTGCACATGTTTGTACATGTACATGTACAATGCATGCATTAAAAATTGTGTACAATTTATTGGGGGGGGGGGGAATTAATAATAAATAGACTTGCTGGTCACAGGAATCTACGCACAATATATTAAAGATGTATTGCCCCGTGCTCCCGTGCTCCCCCACCCCCTAAAAAAAAATCTGTCTCCAACAAGTTTTCATTTTTGAAAAATAAACGGGGAAAAAAAAAAAAATCTGCTTTTTTCCCCGTTTTTTTTTTTTTGCATTTGAAACCCTCTGAAAAAAAAGGGCTTCCGTTTTGCGCATAAATAAACATGCCCTACGCGATCCAAATTACTGTCCGGCCACAAATAGTTTGAATTTTAATAAAGAAATACTGCAAGAACTAATAGGATGGCAGATAAGTGATGGGATTGTTCATTTGACGATACAAGCATGGCATTTGGCACACAGTCAGAGTATGTCACGAGAAAGATATCTGGCTATAGGGCCATCGCAGATTTGTCCTTTGAAAAAATATAGGTAGAATAACAAGCAGTGGCAACATTTGGACAATTTTAATAATTGCTTGATAAGGCCAACAAAAAAAAGTCTCCGGTTTCTGGTATGGAGCTTGCCCAAAAAGTGGTGCGGCGATGCGGCTTTTTTTTTTTTTTTACCTGATTTTTTTGCTTCAAATGTGGCTGATGACTGCAAATGGTGCCCGACTAAACTTAGTGCAAATATATGGGAGTCCAGAGAGACCACATAAAGCTTATTCTCGGTCATAACCCCATCTAAAAACACGTTAAAATTGTGCAGCAGCAGGATTGCAGTCAAACCAGTGAGTTTGGCGGTTTTGAGACATCATCTTTCATTGAAAAAAAAAAAATTTCATTTTGCCGACGCGCATGGCTACGGCGACGCGCGCGCATACCAGAAACCGGATACTTTTTTTTTTGGCCTTATCTACCTCTATTTTTTTCAAAGGACGAATCTGCGATGGCCCTATAGCCAAATATCTTTCTCTTGACATACTCTGACTGTGTGCCGAATGCCATGCTTGTATCATCAAAGGCACAATTCCCCCAAATATTTCCACTATCTGCCCCACTATTATAAACGTCATGTTATATTGCCAGCAAAACAGCAATTAAAAAAAAAATCTACAAATATGTATTTTTGGGGTGAAACTTGAAATAGCATGGGAAATGCATCTGTTAACCAAGGGCTCAATAATGCAACATGTGTGTAGGCCATGTAAACATGTGAAACACGAACTATGGTAGATAAGTACATGTACACGTACATGTATACACATGTACAAATGTATACATATGTACAAATGTATACACATATGTACAAATGTATACACATATGTACAAATGTATACACATGTACAAATATGTACAAACATGTATATACATGGTGTAAAAAAAAACTGAGAATGCGTATGTGAATTGTGCATTGTACATGTTCATTCTGTGAACACACGAACAACCATGTACATGTACGTGTACATGGAACACTAGTAAACAAAAAATGACTATTCAAATTATTTTCGATCTGTAGACCACCCACCATATCATGGAGATAACCATATGAAGCACTATCGTGCAATGGTGAAAAAACAACTTGTTCTGTACATGAGTATAAAGGTCACACATGTAGGTGAAATATCCTGCAATATCTGTGTGTACAAGATTAAACATGATGATTAATTTAAGCCTAAGTCCCAACCTCGTGCCCCGTGGGTACGATCTTGCTGCGCCATGTTGTTTCCCATCATGCCTTGCGCGATCGTAACCCCTGGAATTGCGTAATTTAAATGTGTCAAAATACGGCACATTATTAATTAGGGCTGCAGTTTATCCGTTTTACGCGCCGACGCCATCTTTAAAATGTTGAAAGTTGAAGAATCAATGCTTTCAAACATAAGGTTTGGACGTTGCGTTATTTAGCAAAGATTTGTATCAAAGGTACGTACCCCTTTCATGCCTTTCGTCCCTTTGCAACCGCAGATACAGGGTTTTTTTTTGGCGAAAAACGAGGCTGCCATAATCCATATCGTACAGGCATCGCGCAGTTTTGAATATTCGTACGTGACGTGACGTGCAAAGCACGCGAGCGCAATTATGGGCGCGCCCGGCGTGCAATCTTCGAGATGCCCGCGCAGTACGCTCTGAATAGCCAGTCAGCATCGTTTACGTCATCATCACGGCCAGGGGTTAGTGAAGGAACGCGCACGCGCCCATGGAGTCGAGGCTGCCTAAGTCCCTACTTAGTCGACCGAGTAGAAGTCCGTGTCTGTCAAAATCCATCACTCACTCTGCTTAACAGAATGCTTCAGGACCAAATCCGTTGACATCTACCACTGGTGCTGGTGGATTTTGATGGACATGATACACAATACCTTCCAAAATCCCACAAAAGGGGGATGGATTTTGATGGAGTTGTTAAGGTTCAGAGGTTAGGGTATATACATTAGGCCCCCAAAAAAGGTCTCCAGTTTCTGGTATGTGCGCGTGTTACCGTAGCCATGCGCTTCGGTAAAATGAAGAAAAAAAAAATTTTCAATAAAAGATGATGTCTCAAAACCGCCAAACTCACTGGTTTGACTGGAATCCTGCTGCTGCACAATTCTAACGTGTTTTTAGATGGGGTTATGATCGAGAATAAGCTTTATGTGGCCTCTCTGGACTCCCATATATTTGCACTAAGTTTAGTCGGGCACCATTTGCAGTCATCAACCAACATTTGAGGCAAAAAAATATCCGGTAAAAAAAAAAAAAAGCCGCGTCGCCGCACCAGTTTTTGGGCAAGCTCCATACCAGAAACCAGAGCCTTTTTTTTTTTGGCCTTAAAGGGAAATTATGGCCTGGAATACACCAAATTGGGCTCCTTTTTTTTTAAAAATTCTCACATACGGTATCAAAAGAAGGGGGAAAAAAAAACATACTGCCAACTCTGTTGATACCCAAAATTTTCGGGTTGATCGGGTTATCGGAAAAACCGCATTACTTAGTTTTGGCCAAACCGTATACGGCACTTAATATTCAGAACAGAGTCATGCGGTTAATAGGAACATGTATCAAAAGTTAAAGGTGACAAACTTTAATAGAACAAATGTGTAACAGGTGTCAGATGTGAACTAGAAGTTGGGTCAAAAGTCAAATGTCATAGGTTAAAGGTCGATAGTGATCAACTGCAAAACCTGCTGACAGAACGAAGTGTGTTATAAGGGGTTAGAGATGGGCGATAAACACATACTTGACATACACAATGTAAATATACATGCACATGTATCCTGCAGACGTGTTGAAAGGAGAGACTGTGTTTACATGTACATGTACAATGAGTTAGTGAGGATTACTACAGGGCGAGTAAAAAAAACCGAAACCCAAATGTCGGGACTATTGTTTCAGTGAAGTTCTACATGTAGCTCTTTCAAAATCTAGGATATGAAAGCCCAATTCATAAGCTTTCTCTTAGTACAAGAATCATTCAAATCAATCATGTACTTTACAAGTTACGGAATTTTAAACACAACCACCGTTATAAAGTTCTGTCCACTGATCACAAAAAAAGAGTGTGCGTTCTTTCAGCAAAATGAAAACAATTCACACGCATCCCCATGTGATTTGTTTTCGTTTTGCTGAAAGAACACTTACCGTTTTGTTATCCGTGGACAGAACTTTAAACAACGGTTGTGTTTAAAATTCCGTAACTTGAAAATTACATGAGTGATTTGAATGATTCTTGGACTAAAAGAAAGCTGATGAATTGGGCTTTCATATCCTAGATTTTGAAAGTGCTAGATGCAGAACTTCACTCAAACAATGATCCCGACATTTGGGTTTCGTTTTTTTTTTTTAATTCACCCTGCACATTGTCAGTTTAATAGTGAGATTGGGAGGAAAATGAAAAATCCACGAAGTAATCGGCTGAGGGTCTGAGGATCGACGAGGGACCCAGAGCAACGTGGGTCTGTGTTACCATGTTTGTGAGGGAATGCAGGGCTGTAAACTTGAGAACTCATCCAAAGTCTGTGGCCTCGTGGTTAAGGGCACTGATTCGTGGTCAGCGGGTAAAGCTGCAGGTTGTGGGTTCGAGTCCTGGCGGGGTCATGGTGCGTGTGCCCTTGGGCAAGGCACTTTGTCACTCATTGCTTCTCTCCACCCAGGAGTAAATGGGTACCTGTGAGGGCAGAGATGGTTATTGTGATTGAATTAGCTTCCTTGCGCCTAAAAGGCTGCATCGAGCAGTATACTCCCCAGGGAGCTGAGATAGTATTTGGAATGTTTCATGTGCCCAATGAGCAAGGGTAATAATGATGTAGAGCCTTGAGCACCAGTCCTGGTGGATACGTGCGCTTTATTAATATCCACTATTATTATTATTATTATTAAGTCTTGGAATAGCATGCATGCTGGTTAAAGTGAACTCTGTTTCAAGGCCTTCGGAAAGGGAACGGACAAGGTGAAGCTTTGGGTCCCCCAAAAAAGATGTAATCAGTGATCAGGAGATGGTGAAAAATGAGGAGTTGAAACCTGAGAAACAATCAAAGTTCAAAGGTCCAAAAAGTTTAGTCAAACATGAGTGAGTACATGTACGTAAATATCGGTGGTTCCCACTGCCAATGTTAAGGTGCCACACACTCGTTAGAACAGGAACACCTGTGACTTGAACAAACGAAACCTACGTCGGCAATCACTGCGGGAGGAGCGGCAAGCTCCGGTTCTGGTTCCTTCTCTACTGGGGTCTCTGGTTCTTCAGAGACCTCGGGCTCTTGTTCTTTTATGGGTTCTGGTTCCAAGGGGGGTTCTGGTTCCAGTTCTGGTTCTTTTATGGGTTCTGGTTCTTTTATGGGTTCTGGTTCTTTTATGGGTTCCGGTTCCAAAGGAGGTTCTGGTTCTGGTTCTGGTTCTTCGGGGGTCTGAGTGGGTTCTGGCTGGGTTTCCGGTTCTGGGTCTTGGACTGTCTGTGGGTCAGGGACTAGGACTACTGGGGGAACTGGTTCGGGGTCTGATGGGGGTTCTTGCGGGGGTTCTTGGGGTTCCTCCACCTGGATCTCGGGGGCGATGATCTGAAGGTTAAAAAGCAACTGTTAATAGCCCTGTACCTCTAAACTCCCGGAATATTTTTCCTACAAAACCTGCAGGAATCCTCCAAAATCCACAGCATTGAAGGAAACCAACTGTCTTTGTAACTTGAACTTTCAAGCGACATCAAAAAGTATGTAAATGTAACTTGCAACTGGGCTCTACATTCCTAAATACTACAAACTCCTACAAAAAAAGGATATGAAGGATTTTGAAGGCTTAAGGTTAATCGAATTGGGAGTTAAATTAGTCAAAGACCCATTGACCAATGTAAATACTCAGCCAGGTACAATTTTTTACACAGTACACGTACAAGTCATCTTCAGCTCAAAATATATTAAGAAAAAAAAAACAATGCATATATTAGTTGTTACCTACGCCAAGGAGGTTATGTTTTCATCGGATTTGGTTAATTTGTTGGTTGGTTGGTTTGTCTGTTAACAAGATAACTCAAAAAGTTATGGAAGATTATGCATGAACATTTTTTAGGGGTGGTCCTTGGTACAAGTACAAATCGATTAGATTTTGGAAGTGATCCGGATCTGAGTCTGGATCCAGGATTTTTTTTTAAGGATTCTTGACCATTTATGCGAGTATTTCTTTTGGGTGTAATGAAAATATGGCGGGGAATTGTTTAGCCTTGGCGGAGGTTTGCGCTCTCTGGGTGCTTTCTAGTTGTAAATGGTTTGTGAGGAATGTACACTGTTTGAAAGTGTTACAACACGGCAGGTAAAAATGACAAGCCTGCCCAGTGTCGCAAAACCCATCAGGTCAAAAGTCTCGAGGCCAATTACTGCCTCAGAGTCTGTGGTCACCGAATGCATCAGGATGCAGCCCTGGCTTTGTTCAATGGGACTTTGTTCAGAATTGGCAGATTGGCCATTTATGCACTGGTATCGATGGCTCAATGCAGCAAAGGCCCCACAGAAAAAAGACACCTGACGTACCGTGTCGGGTCTGACAGGGTTAGGGTAGTTGTGTTGGTTGGTCTTGCAAAATGCAGTCATTCTGATTTGAAAATCACAGGTGTGTGGAAAAAGGCACACGTGAACTTTTCTAGGCGTGTGGTTTTCCTAGGTGTGTGATTTTCTACCGGTAGGTGTGTGATTCTGTGGTCCAGGGCCATTCAGGTATGCAATTATTCACACTTCTCGGGAAGCTTTTAGGCGTGCGATGGCGTGGGGGTGCAATCGCACGCCTCAAATCAGAAGGACTGAACATGGGGTGGGGGAGGCCTCACAAATTTGTCCTAGGTTGGGTTTCAATGTTTGCACTATTCATTCTTACCCTCTCAGGTTCTGGTGATGATTCCCTCTCGGGGCTAGGCTCTCTGATATATTCCGGCGTTGACTCGACGTCGGCTGCCGCAACAGCGACGATCACCTCCGGCTCAATGGCATCTTCCTCGGGTTGCCTGGCCGTCTCCTCAGTCTCAGCTTCCTGGGAGGACAGAAGACGGGAGAACAAGTGTTAAGCTTTTCTTCTTTTGCTCTGTAGGTCAGTAATGGAGTCTGTGGACAAGTGCACCCTCAAAGGTCAACAACAGAGAGATTGAAGGACATTGGAGTGATGTCGCCACCCATGCTCAGAAGCATTCCTCTGTAAACACGGGTCCAATTTTGTTCACAGATGCAACTGGATTGTGCATGTTTCGTGCCGTGCACTAACAAACCAGACACACGTACACCATGTCCTTCACTTTATGGGCGCCGCGCGCCAACAAGAGGGGGCACTTCTTGACCACTTATGAAAGCCAAGGCCAAGTTCGCGCAAGGACTATAGTTGACAAATGGTTAACTAACGTTTGCCCGAACTCTGTCTAGTCAACGGTGGTTGACTACGCTAGTCGACTATTTGGAACCAGCCTACTGGGGCTGGTTGCATCGCTGGTAACCAATAGCCGCGCGCATTCATAACGCTAGCAGAGAGCCAGGATCCAGAAGTTTTGCGATGACATTTTGACCAGCGTTTGACTGGAGACGTTCGCACGTTGCTATCAGTGTGCAGGCGTAAGGTACATGTACGTCACAAATCAACCACTAGTCGACTAATGGTCCTTGCCCGAACTTGGCCCATGTGGACGATACACACGGCCTGCGTACTGGTTTGCACATGTGCATGTCAAAAATTATCATGCATTACTACATTTATTCTGAATGTGCACAGAGTCCCAGGGTCTTGGCTTTCAAATGTCTCTCTAAGTGGTCTCCCCCTACTCTCCCTTTGCAACCGTTTGGGGTACTTGTGCTCGTGGAAAGAGCCCAGTTTGCAAAGGCTATGGCTGTTACAGAGTCTAAAGCTGTTTCTCAAACCCCAGCTTTGCCTCCGTCTCCGGCTACAGGCATGCAGCTTGGCAAATGAGCACGAGCTGTAAGCCCTGCTTTAAGATTGGTCCAATAACTTCAACATTATTTTTTTTTTCTCAACTGAACTTTGCCCATCCCAATATGAAATAATTAACATTAACGTTACTACTGTGCATTTGTGCCTCCCCTCTTAGTTAAAGTCATCAGTTTCTATCTACAAGTAAGGCCCCAAAAAATAAGTCGGTCTCTGGTCAGCGCGCGCATCGATTTTAATCATGCGCGTCAATCTTTTTTTTTTCCAAATCGTTCCGCGGTAGCTCCAACAGCGCCCTCTATTGCCGCACCTCCTCAATTTTTTTTTTACCAAAGAGCACCAAGGAATGGGAAATTGCACCAAGGCAAATGATCGAGAGCACCAAGGCAAATTATGGAGGACACCAATGAACATGAGGACACCAAAAAAACCCAAATAGTACCCCACCTTGTCTGTACAATACAAGCTTGAAAAAAAAAAAAAAAAAGCCGTGTCGCCGCGTCAATTCCGGAACTTTGGTCTGACCAGAGACCGAATATTTTTTTTTTTTGGCCTAACATGAATATTTTTTTTTATACTCGACAGGGAAGTCAGTAATTCTCACCACTGCCGTTGCATGCACATCATTGGGTACCGACTCGACGGGTACCGACTCCTCCACAGACACCACGGCCTCCTCCACCGGTTCCTCTATCCTCTCGGGTGCGGCCTCCTCTTGGGTGACCTCCGCTGCCGTGATGACCGGCGTCAGCACGACGCCGTTCTCCTCCGGCGACGACGCGTCACCGTTGACCTTGGGGGCGTCCTCCTCCTCCGCTTCCACCTCGGGTTGCTGCGCCGGGGCGTCCTCCTCGATGAATTGGCTCTCCTCCGCGGTCTTGGCCTCGACGGTCAGGGCGTACTTCTTGTTGTGCTGGTCCAGCTCGCTGTCGACCACCAGCAGCGTCGTGCGGTCCCCGCCACTCTTGATGCGGGTGACCACCTGCGCGTGCGTCTCCCGCTCGATGTTGACGCCGTTGACTTCGATGACGCGGTCGCCTTTCCTCAGCTTTGCTGCCTCTGCCGGGGATCCTGTGCAGAGAGAAAAGCAGAAAGTATTTTAAAACCCTGACTCCCTAGTGGCTTTTTACTAAGAACTGGACCAAGTCCATCAAAATCCATCAATCCCTGTGCCTCCAGAACAAAAACGTACATGACATAATGGAATCCACCACTGACGCACTGGTTGACATTGATGGACGCGATGCACATGGCTTATATGACAATAGCAGTACTGGAAACTAGGCGAAATCAATCGGATACCCCCAGCACTGCTTTGGGCCATTAGTCCCAAGTCCATCATACTCCATCAATTTTTAGTCACACCAGGCCTACTGGACCAATTCCCCTCCCCCAAAATATCAGGGTTCGACCTTTAACCCTAACCCCCTAGGCCCTTGTTGCTTACAACCATCCTCAATCCTCCAAAATCCTCCAAAAATTTTCAACCAGGGTTCTCCCCACGTACAAACGTGCGTATCGGCCCGATACGCTGGAATTGTGGCCCGATACGCCGACAAAAATGCCGATCACATTTTTCAGCCCCCGATACGCACAATATAATTTATTACACAAGCCATTAAAATGCACAACATTATCGTTTCATACGCCATTATTTCATCTTGACATTCAAAATCTTGACAAAAATCCCGTATTTCTGATGCTGCATGTGTGATCAAAATGCACACGATGACGGGTCTTTCGCGACGACCGCCAGCACCCAGCTATATATTAGCGCATTCAGCATGGTACACTGGTTCCCTTCGCGTGCTAACAGTATCAATGGTATGATGAAGGACCGGAACCAGTGACTACTGCCTTGTACGTGCATACATGATGATTTCGGCCGAAGTTGGATCGTAAAAACACCAAACAAACATCGATGGAGAAAGAGAATTTCTGCAAATTAATTCACAGAACGTGATCTCTATTTTCTGTGTATGTATTTTCCATTAAAATGACGAGATTGCAAAGCTCGAACGTATGGCGAAACATTGTACGCGTAGCATGCTTCTTAGAAGCAGTGGTGCAAAATTTTCAGCCACACTGATGCTGCGCCGTGTCGGTACGGTGAGCACAGCGCGATGTACAGCCGGCCAGACTGAATGTTGACGGCGCCAGGGGCCATGATGTACGTTAAACATATTGTGGAATCAACTACCTCAATTTTTTTTTTAATTAGGTGAGGCAAGTTTTAATCACTTTTGATGGTCAGTCTTGATAATTTTCGTGGTGCAAAGGAAAATAATCCAGGCACAAAACTACATGATTCCTTGTTCAATATGCTCCATTCAATCAAGTGTTTTTATTCCTCCATGATTCAATCAGCAGCCCAAAAAATTGGCGAAATAATTTTTCCGACTTACCGACGTTATTTTGAAAGGCATGTAATCGGAAGCAAAAGTGATATTTTTCTTCACCTTAATTTCTTAATTTGAAACTTGCTTGTTAATCTAATTCATACTTTCTAGATCAGGAAGTTTTAACACAGGTTTTGAAATGTTGATTTTTTTTTTAAGTTAAAAATTTTGATATATTTTTTCTTTAATTACAAAAAATATCACATGATCTCCTCTAAATTTTAAGAGAAAATCTTCCTCAAAGACTCCCCAGATTTGCTCTAAAATGCACCAGAGAGCCTCTAAAGTTCAAAATTTTTCGGGGCCTTTAAGCGGGCCCCGAACCCCACGCCATGGCTTCGCAGGTTGGTGAATCACAACAAAACTTCCCCCACAGGTTTGAAAAAATCCTGGGGAGAACCCTGCAACTCCGCCTAAATTTTTCAAAATTGTCAGACAGTCCTGCCTCAAAATGCATTCATCCTCAATCCTCCAAAATCCTCCTCATCCCAAAACTTTGCACTCGTGTTTAAATGAAGGATAACCAACGCCAAATCCTTCAAAATCATCAGACAGTCCTGCCTCAAAATGCATTCATCCTCAAGCCTCCAAAATCCTCTTGTGCTTCATTCACCATTCATCCTCAATCCTCAAAAATCCTCATGTGCTTCAATCACCATTCATCCTCAATCCTCCAGAATCCTCATTTGATTCAATCACCATTCATCCTTAATCCTCTAGAATCCTCCAAAACCGCCAGGAGGATTTTGGAGGAGTGAGGTGGGTTAGGGTTAATAACCATGTTAACTACTTTTTTGCACTAGCCAGCTGGGCTACTGAAACAGACTCTTAAAAGCTGCAGGCATTTTCACATTTTTTTCTTTTTAAACCTAACTCCCTAGGCCTTTTTGCTAGGATGTAGCCTCAATCCTGCAAAATCCTCCAATTTGGCCTCATGGAAAATAGCATATAGCCTCAATCCTGCAAATTCCTCCGTTGTTTCTTGAATATGGCCCATGGAGGGGTGACCACTACCTGCCTGCAAAATCCTCCGGCTATGACTGTCAATAGGCTGAGGCAGAGGCAGTGACATCCTGGAGCAGTGCGGAGGATGTCAACTATAATCAAGGACTAAATTTATGCACGGCTGAGCATAAACAACACAAGGTCCGGCCCAAGACCTTGACACAGTGCGTACTCCGAAATCAGCAATGCACTTTGGCCATGTAACCTCAATCCTGCAAATTCCTCCAATTTGCAAAAAGGATTTTGGAGGATTCAGGGCGGTTAGGGTTAATATAGAGTGTCTCATAAAGAACAATGTGCATAAATCTACATGTTTTGTGTAAAATGTGCATTCTGAGGAAATCTTGCTAAACAGCTAACAAAATGAGACACAAATTGACAGGTTTGCTTTCTGAATTTAATGATTTATTTCTTCCTGTCCTTTCATCTTTGCCGTAGCCCAACAATTTTTGACTCGCCAGCCGGGCTACTTAAGTAATAGCTTGACTAGCCCGCCGCTGTTTTGGCTGGGGAGCTATCGCTTTAAAAGTCGACCCCTGCATAACTCACAACAAATAAAGTTGGAAACATTTTTCTTTAGGGGTTTGGTTCTAAACTGAATTTACCATTTCCTGACAGGAATCAGAATGATTCAGATGCCATATTTGTCATTACAAGAGGACTCAACTGGTTCAAGTCCACTTCAACATCAAGAGTAATATCATTCATTGACCTTTCACGACAAAGATGGTAACCAACGACCGAGCAATGTATGTGTACAGATCACGCCACCGATATAAGTCTGCTAAGTGCTTCAACTTGATTGTGGGTGGGTGTGTGTGTGCTTATTATTGACATGCTGTGCTTACAGGGCTTGATAAGAATAACTATTTTTATTTAGGCTGCAAAAGAAACATTGTGTTTTTACAGCAACGCCCAAAATTTTATCAAGGTACCAGTACTGGTAGGCTGGAAAATGATTTAATTCTGTGTACTTTTTTTATGTTTTGAAAAGTATTCTGTTTAATTAATTTAAGTATAATTGTTCAATTACCCAATAACACGTAAACAAATTGCATCATTTGGGAAGATATTTGTATTTTCCAAATATATTTTACATTTTTGGCCCAATGTGGCTATGAAAAGTTTGAGTTTGGCAATTTGGCTTTTAAAAAAAAAAGTCCAGGTTAGGCCAAAAAAAAAAATAGTCGGTCTCTGGTCAGACCAAAGTTCCTGAATTGATGCGGTGCCGCATTGTACAGACAAGGTGGGGTACTATTTTGCTTTTCTGGTGTCCTCATGTACATGTACATTGGTGTCCTCCATAATTTGCCTTGGTGCTTTCGATCATTTGCCTTGGTGCGATTTCCCATTCCTTGGTGCTCTTTGGTAAAAAAAAAATTGAGGAGGTGCGGCAATAGAGGGCGCTGTTGCAGCTACCGCGGACAATTTGAAGGGAAAAAAAGGTTGACGCGCATGATTAAAATCGACGCGCGCTGACCAGAGACCGACTATTTTTTTTTGGCCGTAGCCGCAAAAACAATTGTTTAATTTTTCTTTGGCCTTACCGGTAGATATACCGGTACAAAAACTGCCACCATGGATACACACGTACCGGTACATGTTTGGTGTTTGGGTGCATTGTGGTCGGTTTGCACACCTGATACGGACAAATAGACTACAGTGTGTATGTATTTTCCTACCAACATATATTATATCCAATCAAAAAGATCTTTGCGCAATCAACCCACCATTACCGCTGTTCTATTCTGTATTTCTGTTGTTATCTTTAAGCTGTGATAACCTAAGCTGGCGAGTCCAAACTGGAAAAAAAAAACATGTTTAAAGCTACAGTCCATCATTTGTAATTTGAGTATTTTGTTCGTTTGAAGCAACAGAAGAGTTCAAAATCTAATGAAGGATACTGAGCAACTAACCTGATGAAGTTTCAGCTCAGCTTCAGCTGTATATTCCGAGAAAAACAGCATTCTAAGATCTCAATTTCAAATCAAAAGTTACTGAATCATGTTTTGAATTGTTTTGAATTGCAGCTATACGCGACGTCGCGCACTGATCCGACGAATTATAACAACCGTGCGCGCGTGTGTGTCGTTCCAATACTTGTGCGCGCTGCGCTGAATAACAAAACGAACTACTAATTAAAATTTTCCTACGGTGCTTCTTAAGAATCACTGTTGGAAATGCCTTCTTTCGTTGATTACTTCAAAATGACAGCTTCCCAGAAAGAATAATTTCACAGGGAGTTTAGTCCCCTTACTATCTTTCAACCGAGTTTGTTTTTCAACAATAATTACGCCAGTTACTTTTCGGATGGCTGCAAATGATGGACTATAGCTTTAACATATGTACATGTACAAGTACGCATATTTCCCCCATATGTCATGTATGTACTGCCATATACATACAATAGCCTAGCATGCGGACTATCAGCACATTGGGAGTTGACTGCAACCAGCCTATTTGTTTTTGTATCAAAGGTCGAAGGCAATGTGTACATATCACACCCAACAAGCCCCAAGTCCACTGTACGGTACCAGTATTGCATTGAATGCAATGGATCTATTTAGCTATCGAGGTAGTGTAAAGGAATGCACATGTGACAATAGGCTTAATACATGTAAAATTAACTTATTAGCAACTGTACTACATTGCGTCACACCATAGATA